CTTGGAAAGAGTATCACGCAGAATAAACCAGGATCAATAGAAGTATCTCAAGCCAAGAACACAGAGCAACCTTCTTCTACGAACGAAATGGAGGTACCAATCTCAGATAAGTCAAAGGAAACAGAGACTGACATGGAAGATGGATAAGAAGGAACCTCTGTGCAACCCCCTCCACACACAGTTAAGCGACATCCTCCTAGCCAGATTATTGGAAGACTAGACCAAGGTATGACAACTCGTTCCAGAACTCTACCATCCTTAGCAGCTTTTGTTTCTTTAATCGAACCTAAAAATGTAGAAGAAGCTCTTCAGGATGAATTCTGGACAGCTTCTACGTTTGAAGAAATGAACCGTTTTGAACGTGCAAATGTGTGGGAATTGGTACCCAAACCTGAAAATCGAGTAATAATTGGTACAAAATGGATTTATAAAAACAAGTCAGACGAGATAGGAACTGTAGTTTGAAACAAATCTCGGTTGGTGGCACAAGGATACTGTCAGGAAGAGGGAATAGATTTTGAGGAAACGTTTGCCCCAGTTGCGAGACTAGAAGCAATTGGTATGCTATGTGCCTTTGCTAGTTCTAAAGGATTTAAATTATTTCAAATGGATGTAAAAAGCGCTTTTCTAAATGGAGATTTAAAAGAAGAAGTCTATGTGTCTCAACCTCCAGGTTTTGAAAATCACAGTTATCCTAATCATGTATATAAGCTAAAAAAGGCATTATATGGGTTAAAACAGGCTCCCAGAGCTTGGTATGACAAACTTAGCTCTTTCCTTCTGGAAAATAGGTTTAGGAGAAGCAAGGTAGACAAGACTCTGTTTATTAAACAAGAACAAGAACATATTCTGTTAGTTCAAGTGTATGTGGATGATATCATTTTTGGGTCTACATGTGAAAAGCTTTGCAAAGATTTTGAAATAAAAATGAAAAGTGCTTTTGACTTTTGAGATGAGTCTAATGGGGGAATTGAACTTCTCTCTAGGGCTTCCGATTAAACAAACCCCTGTTAGAACCTTTATTTGTCAAACCAAATATCTTCAGAACATGTTAAAACGCTTTGATTTTGGGAACTTAAAGACTGCCATAACCCCCATGGCATCAAACACAAAACTTGATAAGGATGAATCAGGAACAACAGTAAATGATAAATTGTTCAGGGGTATGATAGGTTCCCTGTTGTACCTGACAGCTAGTCGTCCTGACATCATGTACAACGTGTGTGTGTGTGTGTGTGTGTGTGTGTGTGTGCTCGATTTCAGAGTTCACCTAAACAGAGTCATCTAAGTGTTGTCAAACGAATTTTTAGATACCTGAGTGGGTGTCCGAACATAGGATTGTGGTATTCTCGTGACTCTAGTTTAGAACTTTTAGGGTATTCGGATGCTGATTACGCAGGGTGCGTCATAGATCGGAAATGTACTTCAGGAACATGTCAGTTTCTGGGTACTTCTTTAGTGTCCTGGTTCAGTAAGAAACAAAACTCTGTCGCACTGTCAACAGCTGAAGCTGAGTACATTGCAGCAGGATGCTGTTGTACTCAAATTCTCTGGATGAAGCATCAGCTGCAATATTATGGTTTGTTTCCTGGTTTTGTACCTGTTCTGTGTGATAAAACAAGCTCAATCAATATGACCAAAAATCCAGTCCAACATTCACTAACTAAGCGCATTGATGTTCGTTATCACTTTATTCGTGAATTAGTGGAAGAAGGACAAATAGGACTAGAATTTGTTCCTACCTCTTGTCAATGGGCTGATATCTTCACAAAGCCTTTGGGCTCTGAATCCTTCATTCGCATTCGTCGAGAGTTAGGGTTATTTGCCTTAAAAGATATAGTTGAATTGTCAGCTCAGCCCCAAGAATCTTCTTAATTGGTGATCTGAGTTACCTTTCCTAATCGTATTTCCCATGATTCATGGAATCTCTATTCTTCCGGATCAAGCCTCTTTATATTCCTTATTCATATCCTACCTTCTCTTAATTAACCCTCTGACCCACTATAAAAGGGGTCAGGGTCGAAACCCTCTTCTCATCACTCAATCACTCTCAAATCCACATCCCACTCGTTCAACTAAAAGGTTCTCATGGCTGTTCCCAATCATCACGTAGCATCCCTGCGTTTGGCTCAAGCTGCCATTTTCAATGGAAAAGGGTTTGAGGATGCAACAGGTTATGCTCGCTATCTTCTCCAGTTCCAAGATCGTCCTCTGCATCCCTCCATTACTCTTGATCCCTCCAGGTTCAACAGGTATGGGATGGATATCCCACGCCTGATTAACACTATTGGTTGGGGTGATATTCTTCCAAATCGAAACTTTGGGTTTCGTCCTGAGGCAGTACGAATGTTCTATGCAAACATGAAGCCTTGCTTTCATATTTCTCCTCCATGCTTCACAACGATAGTGTACAATTATCTGATCACTATCAATGTGGAATTGCTGTCTCTTTTGCTTGGTATTCCCATCGCCGGAACAGAAGTCATGAATGAGTCTGACTTTCACTCTGTTGAGTTTAATGAGGGAGACGCTCTGCGTCTGTATACCCGCGACACTGGTCGCTACTATCCCTTTGAATTTTACATATCCCGGTGCTTTCTGCCTAGATCTTTTGGGCTCAATACTATCTATCCCTCAGACCTATGGATTCTTGCTAGTGCCAAGGCGAATCGGGTAATAAGTTACCCTCATCTAATGTTCGACCACATGTTGAACTACCATGCTAACAGCTATGATGCCAAGCTTCCCTTTGCTTCTTTCTCCCTTTACCTTCTATGATTTACTTCTGCCACTTTCCTCTCATCTAGTATGTGCTACTCATATGTCGGGAAAGGAAGGAGTTGGTGATGGATGGAGATATTTTGCACAAAGAGTTGTTGGTCGTCGCAACTACGGTATGTGGGAGGAACATTGGTAGGCTACGGCGAGAAGACCATCTTTTCTCTCTTTGGTCTTGACAAATAGGAAATGGTTTTGTTCTCATTATCAAGAATAGTCGATCCCAATAGCTCGAGTTGTTGGGTATAAATCATATAGCAGTTACCAACACACCTCCTCAAACTAAAAGTGACTCATATCAGCTTGGAATTTGCACATGTTCGGATAGCATGTGCTTAACATAACATATGAGTCATCGGGGTTCGAACAGAAGATCTATAGGTCATAGAAGACTCTGATACCATGTCAAGAACCAATTAATCCCAATAACTTGTGTTGTTGAGAGAGATTCAATTATAGATCATATAAAATTTACTGACACTCACTTGGCTAGGTGCTCGACTCGAGGATCAAATCGGTTGATTATTGTTCAGAGTTTGATCGGGTTTCTTCCAGTCTTCGCTAAATTCAGGTGGACAATCAATTGAGTTTCAGGTAGATGCGACAGTTTGAATCCAATCTATCAACTTAAAAATCTAATATAATCCATAGTACCTGTATATATTTATATTTCACAATTTGGTGCCTAAATTTCACGGTGACTTGCACTTTTCGGTCGACCTCATTTAGGATTAGGTCGACCTCATTTAGGATCAGGTCGACCTCATTTAGGATTAGGTCGACCTAACTGTTGTTTCGGTGTAAAAATAGTTTTATGATGCATACTTTGGAGATTCATATCATACAATTGGCTAGATGGAAATTGATGATTAATGGCTTGTTTTGAATCTGGAGTGTCCCTCTACATATTGAAGTGATTGAGAGCTTGATAAGAAGTCCAAGAGACCATTTTTTACTTGATCAAAAGGCTATGCCAAAATTGGGAAACTACCTGAAAATGGCCAAGTCTGGAAACGTGTTTGTGAAGCCTACTTTGGAGCTCAATTCGAGAAAAATGAATGCGAGTCGATTCCAGGGGCCTCTACCACATTAAATTAGGTATGTTTTTATACAAATTCAAGGCATAGGATGAAAGATTGAATATTTTAAGGCTTCAAACAAAAGGGTCGAAGTTGCTAAGAAGGCTGTTTTCTGGCGGACTTTGAGCACAAGCAAGCTGCCAGAAAAATAGCCTTCGTAGCAACTTCGAGCCTTTTGTTTGAAGCTTTAAAGATATCCAACCTTTCATCCAAAGCCTTGAATTTGTATAAAAATATACCTAATTTAACGTGGTAGAGGCCCCTGGACTCGACTAGCATCCATGCTTCTCAAATTGAGCTCCAAAGTAGGCTTCACAAACATGTTCCCAGACTTGGCCATTTTCAGGCAGTTTCCCAGTTTTGGCATAGCCTTTTGATCAGGTTCAAAAATGATCTTCTGGACTTCCTAGCGAGCTCCCAGGTAATTTAATGTGTAGAGGGACACTTCCGCTTCAAAACAAGCCATTAATCGCCAATTTCCATCTAGCCAATTGTAAGATATGAATCTCCAAAGTAGGCACCATGAAACTGTTTTTACACTTAAACAACAGATTAGGTCGACCTAATCCTATGTGAGGTCGACCGAAAAGTGCATGTCACTGTGACATGCATGTCACCGTAGCAAAGTCCAATTTATTAACAAGTACATTTTGGTACGTCAATTTTTTATAATAACATTTTAGTACATAATTTTTTCTAGAATTTTTGTATTGATCCAAGATTTAAATGCCATAAAATTCATGAATTTATTTAACCTAATATATGAATCCAATATACTTGCCACCTCTAGTTTCTCACTTCGAGTCCGAATTCGGCTAAAAACGGTTAAGTCATCCGGTTCTTTTACTGGTTTACAATATGAATCGGATAAAAAATTCAAAATTATCTATTACTGCTGTCGCTAAGCTTTGGGACAAAGGGGATTTTAGGGGTTACTCTTTCAGAGATTTATCTTTGTCTAATGACTCCTCTAGCGAAGCAAGGGCTGGCGTATTGTTCAGGTTACTTGTGGGCTTGTCGGGGAGGTCTGAAAACAAACTCTCATCAAGCAAAAGCTTTGAAATGGGCTTCTTACTTGCGGGCTAGCAAGTTATTCAGATGGGCGGCCCGATGGAAAACTCTATAGTTTCGGGCCAGAAGCCCAGCAAACTCAGCTACATACTTCTGTTGAAACTTGAAACTAGCCGCCGTTGGCATGGTTCGGGCAACGGACAAATGGCTAGACTGATACGACCCTTGCACCTGCAACAATGGCCGCAGCTCAACAACCACCATTGTTGCCGCTCACGTCCTTCGCTCCACCATCTCCTAACCTTGTCAACTTCAACAATAAACTGCTGCAAAGCCGCTCCGCAATTTCTCTCTTGCACTACTGCGCCCTTCTCCTCTTCCCGCAGCGTTCACACTCGCGCTCGTGCTCGCGGTCCCAGATTCGCTAACGCACCGCGGTCGGCCGAAGTCGACGAGAAGGAAGGCGAGGCCGGAAGCAGCGATTCCGACTCCGATGGAAAGAAAGGCCGCAACGAGAGGAAGCGCGAGGCTCGTCGCGCCGTCCTGTGGGCGATGGAGCTCGCTGCCTTGTCTCCCCTGCAAATCAAACGAGTTCTAAGGTACTCTTAGTGAATCGAAATTCCGGATTCTCTTGATTAGGATTTAGAAGTTAATTTCGGCGCGGTGTACGCTTGTGTTTAATTTGATTGTTTGAATTCGGGTGGAACCTACAGGATGGCTAAGCTTGAACGGGAGGTGTTTGAAGCATTGACGCTAGTTAAGGTATACAATTCTTCAGCTGATTATCTTTGGGCAAGCGGTACTATTGTAGCTAAGGTGTTTGTTTAATTGACCCAGAGACTAGGACCAGACGTCCGAGAAGGAAAACGAAGGCAATACAACTATATCGGTAAATGATTCCCTCTTTGTTCTTGAATTAGCGCTGAAAAATTCTCTCCATTTCCCGATCAAATCCATCAAATGCTCTAAGTGAAATTGTCCTTAAAAAGAAAAACTGGTTCGCACAGGGAAGCTACTTCGTGAGGTAGAACCTGAGCTAATGGACGCCTTGATACACGCAAGCAAAGATGGGGACTGGAGTAGGCTGCAGGGAATTCCTGGTTTCAAAGCCGATGAAGCTGATGACAAAGAAATCGAAGAGGAATTCGAAGAGGTATGAAGAGATAGTATACAATGTACGTGTTGGTTAGTGAAGCTTGCTTCTTGAGTTCAGAATGATAGTTTAGGTTTCAAACAATTTGGTTCTAGTACTTTTTTCAGCTGCATCCATTTGAAGGGTGTCCTTTGTAGTTTCAGCCTCGTCCTAGTTAACTAGCTCTGTCTTAGACCAGAAACGACAATGGCTGAATCATCATTTGATAAATTTGCCAGGTTTCTGAGGAGCACATTGAGATGGCAACCAGATGGTTTGATGGTTTAATCACGAATGACGTTGACATTACAAAAGAAGTTTATGCACTTGGCGTGGTTGATTTTGATCGCCAGGCAAGTCTTAATATGAGTTCTGCTAATCCTTTACTTACCATCATCATGACCATATCATTTAAGACATGTTATTATGAAATTATCTTGGGTGTATTTTATTGTCGTGCTGAATTTGGTTCTTCTGTCTGTTACAGGAGTTGCGGAAACTGGTACGTAAAGTTCACGCAGTTCAAGAACAGGAGTCCGATGGGGACGAGGAGAGTGAGAAGAAGGTGGCTGCCGCTGCCATGGCCAGAGCCAAGAAGTCCCTCAACAGGTTCCTTCGTGTCCTTGCCAAGCAGATGCCTAATGAATCCAACCAACCCCATTGTTGAGTTTTAACAAGAGAAAGGTATATATTTCATTATTGGGCACGAATCGATGGACATACTAGACGTCAGGCCCAATAGGCCTGTGCTTGGAAATGGGCCTGGAAGTCCATGGATCCAGGCCCGAAGATTCCCACTTTGATGGGGACGTTAACTTCGACCAGATCCGTTCTTTCTTCCCTTTATCACTCATTTCTCCTAAATTATTTTTTGTATCTTTCCTGGACTCTTTTAAATCGTAGTTTAACTTCCATTTATTTCTTTTATCTTTGAACAAATATTTTGTGGATGTGAAGCATTTGGGCGTGGATATGTGAATCTAGAGGCGGTTCTACCTTCAATAAAATATAATATGTGTTCTATTCTGTTCTGTTCTGTTCTGTACTTGATTGAGATTGGATGATGTTTGCGGCCAAAATGAGAAGGAAGTCCATTCCATAGTGTAAATATTATAGGCGGTGACGTAAGTCGCAGGGACAGCCATTGCCAGACCCGATTTCCGGACACAGACAAGGTTTAGTAGGTTGAGAAGAGACGGACGAGGAGGCAAAACTGCTGATGCACAAGACAGTAACAAGTTTGTTGTTTTGTCGACACAGAAACCTACATTAATACAAAGAGGGCGGTTGAATTATATACTGAATTGCTATTTATAGCCCTAGCTTTTTCTTATTTATAGCCCTAAGAGAATGTAATTACTATTTTACCCTTCCTTCCTTTTAAAATATTGAACTTGTTACAACTCCAACCAAACACTCCCTTCCCTACCAATTCACCTCGCCGGATTCCTCCCAGATTCCTCCAAAATATTCTCGCCGGCGACGACGAGCTCTCGCCGGCGACGACGACCACTCGCCGGCGACGACGAGCTCTCGCCGGAGACGTGACTCGCCCCATCTCTCCTGTCGCCGGTTTCCTCTCAAATACGACGACCACCTCTCGCCGGAGACGACGACCTCTCGCCGGAGACGAAATCAGAGCGCTTCGCGAAGGTAATTTTTAATTTTTGCACGAAGGAGGTGACGACCGGCCGTTTGACCCGCCGCCGGCGAGGGCGACGTCCTGCCGACGTTTGTCCGTCGCCGGCGACGCCTGGGCAGGACGTCGCCCTCGCCGGCGGCGAGTCAATTTTTTTTTTTTAAATTTAGGTTATTTATTTATTATAATTATTATGATTTAATGTAGGTTAATTATATAATTTAAAAAATTACTCTATTTATCTCCTTTAATTATGTAGGTTAATTATATGCTTTAATTATTATGATTTAATGTAGGTTAATTACTCTAATTATCTGTTTAAATTATGTATGTTAATTATCTTCTTTAAATATGTTAATATTTAATATATACGAAAATTATGTCGATTAATGTTTTCATTTAATTGAAATTAGATAGGAAAGGTAAATTTTAATTGATAAATATAAGAAAGTTTAATAATTTAAATATAGAATTTTATTTCATAGTAAGTATTAATTGTTGTACGAACCTTAAATTGCAATTGACAATTTAAGCAAGAAAATTAAGTTAGAATTCATCGTGAAATACATTACAATTTTGAACATTATATTGTGATGGGAATTTTATTGTAATTGAAATTATATACGAATGTTAAATTATAATAGACAATTTAAGCAAGAAAATTAAGTTAGAATTTATTGTGAAATTCATTATAATTTCGAATATTATATTGTGATGGGAATTTTATTGTAATTGAAATTATATACGAATGTTAAATTATAATAGACAAATATACGAACCTTGAACATTTGAATATAAAAATTTATTATATGAGAACTAACAATTATCATATGAACATTGCTAATAACTATTACATGATGATAATAATCTGACAATAATTTTAATTCAAATTTTAATAGGTAGAAAATGGTGGATACAAGAGGAAAGAAGAAGTTGAAGGAGGTAGAGCCGTCGAGGGTGACCAACCGTATAGTATTGAGGTCGCGTCGTGAGGAAGCCGAGAATGAGCGTCGACGTGCTAGACTTGTGGAGAATCCTTCTCCCCCGCCTCCCGTGCCTTTTGACTTAGATACAGCTTTTGAGGGAGTGGATGAGTATGATGGCAGTGATGACAATTATGATGACTTCCCGGATGTAAATGATGCTTTCTTCGAGAGCAACCATTCGAGTGCAGGTGGTTCTAGTGGACCTAGATTAGAGCCCGAGGCTCCTTTTGTGTCTTCTTCGTCCTCTCAGTTTGTTCATGTTAGACGTGGGGCTCGTGGTCGTTTTGAGTCATCACGACCCGATTCGGAGGAGGGCAGCACTAGTAAGAGGAAGAAGGCGAGAGAAGCTGATTCGTGGATTCTCGACAGGAGTGGGCCGGGGGGGCCTATCGATCATAGCCTGATTCCTAGTTTTGGAGGTCATGTGGCTTATCGATTATGGGATGATGGTTTAGGGGCTCGCCGAATGGATTCATTCAAGTTGTCGACTAGAGCATTGGCAGTCAATTATTTGAAAGATTACAAATTTCAGAGTGAGGGTGCTGCAGCATTGGTTGAGAGGACAGGGTTGCGCAAGTTGTTGGACTGCTCGATCCAGCACTTGGACGGACCTTTACTTGTGGCATTTGTGGAGAGGTGGCAGCCTGACACCAACACCTTTCACATGCCTTTTGGAGAGATGACCATCACGCTCCACGACGTTGCAGTGTTGCTTGGGATTCCAGTCGGTGAAGATATGGTTGTAGGGAATGAGAGTGTGAAAGCACAGTTGTGTGAGATGCTGAGGGTCGAACAATTGAATGAACGATCCAAGCCTTCGCTTAAGAGTGGGGGTTTAGTGTGTGTTGAAGCTATGCAGCAGGTTGGGAGGTATCCCCAAATCCATCATCTTAGCTTCAATGTTCCGCTTTATGTGCCATATACACAACAAGTGGGCCGATTTCGTGAAGACCTGAGGGATAGCGGCAACCAATCCTCCCTCCTTGTCAGTTAGAATTGCATTCGGTATGCGATCTCCAAGCATGTTCTGTAACTCTCTCAAAAGCCAAACATAAGAATCTGTGGTTTCCCCCTCCATCATAGCAAATCCAATGTTGAAGTTCCTCTTGACGGGGGTAACACCAATAACCTCAACCAGGGGCCTCTTATATTTGTTCGTCTTGTATGTGGAATCAATCAAGATTACATGGTACCAAGCACTCAACATCCGAACGGACTCAGGGTGAGCAAGAAAAAGGTGAGTAAGGTGGCGATCATCATCACGCTTGTAGCCAATGTAGTACCCCATCTCTCTCGCATGGTGTAACGTCCAATCCGAAGGGGTCATGCCACTCAATCTCTCAATCCTTATATTTGCTGTCATGTTGTAAAATTGTCGTTTGTTATGGTGAGTACCATAGTTTTGGTTGATAGTTTGCATCATTTTTCGAGGAGCAACACGAGCCCATTCCATCTCCTTCATATCCTTTAGCTCTTCATTAGTAAAAGCATTCCTCTGAGTGTGGCCTTCGGGATAAAGCTCTAATGCATGGTTGTGAAACCCAGAAAATTGTCCCGGATTGTGATTGTCCTTCACACCATCAATCATCCAAGTCTTTTCCTCCGGGAGTCCCACCAGTCTCACTCGAAAACGACAACCATCTTTAAGTGACTTTGTGTTGGATCGTCCTTTCTTATCCGGATCTGGGACATATGTATTGTTCTTATATCCACGATGGCAGTGAAGATATATTCGGGGGTACTTCTCGCCATCATTTGATTTGGTTGATGAATGTGTCAAAAAGAACCCAAGATCTTTTGCAATCACTTTCGCACCTTCCATAGCTTCATTCCATGACTTATATCTTGTATTTGTTATGAAAAATTGAGTATAATCAACTTTGTCTCCTTTATCTTCCGGATCTCCCTAAAATAAACACATTTATATTATTAGTGATACTAATTTTGAAATGTTTGTTGTAGATTAAATTATTCCAATTTGATATAGATTGAGTCTTACATAAGTTTCAACACTTTTCATGACTTGTAATGTTTGTTGTAAATTGAATTCTTACAATTTGAAAATGGATTGAGTCTTATATAAGTTTTAGAAAATTTGATGACTTGTTTGCAATATTAGATTTTATATTTATCTTCTTATTAAAAAATATTAAACAAGTTATTAACAATTATTCAATATTCGAACATAAACTAATCCAATACATTTTCAACAAAAAATTAGCACATTTAGCATGATTAACTACCAAATCCTAATATTTCAATATGCAATAAAAAGTTTTTAACAAGTAGACACGTACTCATTAAATTATCAACAACACAACGTTGTTAACAATTATTCAATATTTGAACATTAACTAATCCAATACATTTTCAATAAAAAATTAGCACATTTAACATGATTAACTACCAAATCCTAATATTTCAACATGCAACAAGTAGACACGTACTAATTAAATTATCAACAAGATAGTAAAATCAATAATTCAACATTTTTCAAACAATATGTATCATTGTAAAGCAAATATTTAAGCATATTATCAATTACTAGACTTCATCATAACAATAAATAATTCAACATGATTCCAAAATTAAAAAGTTTAACTCACTAACCGTGTTACTCATTATCTGATGTAGTGATATCCGGAAGTCCGAACTTGACCAACTTCAAGAAATACATACAAAAAAAATAGTTTCAGTAATACTAACATAGTTTCAAAATATAAAAAAATGAAATTCAAGAAATTCATTCTAAAAATAATATTATAGCAAATCCATCCTAAAAAATATGATAATTACAATATCATAAAATAATAAACTACAATAAAATCGCTAAATATTCTTCAAAGTCTAAATTATTGTTAGTAAACATTAACTTAGTTTCAAAATAATAAAAAATGAAGTTAAAGAACTTCATTCTACAAATAATATTATAAAAAATCCTACTAAAAATATGGTAATTACAATATTCATAAAATAATAAATTACAATAATAAAAACACTACATATTCTTAAAATATGGCAATTAAAAGTCTAAATTCAGGAAACATTAACTTAGTTTCGAAATATGAAAAATAAAAATTCAATAACTTCATTTTAAAAATAATATTAGAACAAATTTTTCTAAACAATATGATAATTAAAAAATCTAAAATAATAACCGAAAAATCTAAATTAATATATTTTAAAAATCTAATATACTTCACAAATTTAAATTAACAAAAAATTAAAAATAAAATAATTCGCCGGCGACGTCCCGGCAGGACGTTCGTCCGTCGCCGGCGACGTCCCGGCAGGACGTTCGTCCGTCGCCGGCGACGTCCCGGCCGGACGTTCGTCCGTCGTTGTCGGGTTATTTGCCGACGTACCTCGTCGGAGAAAGGAGTTGTCGTCGTCGGAGGTGGCGGTCGCCGGCGGGGGTGGCGGTCGCCGGCTGGAGGTGGCGCGGTCGCCGGCGGGAGGTGGCGCGGTCGCCGGCGGGAGGTGGCGCGGTCGCCGGCGGGAGGTGGCGGTCGCCGGTGGGAGGTGGCGGTCGCCGGCGGCGAGTGTTGTTGGATTGTGTTTGGAAAAGTGTTTGAATGTTTTGGTCTTGGAATGTGTGAAGTAAATGTATTTAAATGTTATGGGTATTATTGTACTTTTTATAATTTAGGGCTATAAATAAAAATAATTTAGGGCTACAAATAGTACGACCCATTATATATTATGTGGAGCAAATGATGCCTCGTTTCGCGTATTGCCCTGACCTTTCTTGTTAAGCCTTGATCAATAATAATGCTTTTTCTTTATTTTTTTTTTTTGGCATCAGCTGATGTGATCGGCTCATTATTCTTCCACGGGAGTAGCTCTATCATCGAGTGCAAATCACATTATTATTTGGCCCATCCATTTCTTTCGTTTAGGCTACACCAGTAACTCATCATGAAATGTTGCTGTGGTGAGGTGTATTTTCAGGCAATTTGATGCGATCTTTTTGAAATAGTATTATACATGTCTTTTTCGTGTACCGAATTTCAAACGTTAGCGGTTTTAGGAGTTGTATGAAACAATTGTATCAAGGTTACACCGCGATTTTAGTATAAAACACACCTTATCACAAGTACCATCGACTTTTCTTTTAGAACTTCTAGAACCGTCAAATGTTTCATACGTATAATAGTTGTTTAGAATATGACAATGCAATCTTATACTCAATCAAATAACACAATATGTGATAGTAAGTCGATCCACTGTGCATTTTTAGCTTTCCTCTAATCAACTGTTTTTTTTTTTTTCTTGTGTGAAATCAAATCTTAAGGATAGGGAGGGTGGAGTCATAATAATTGTGTTGGGGACGATTCACAGGGTCGGCTGAAATAATTTCATTTTCATGACCGTTGTTGCATTCATCAATCATCATCATCGCTCTTCCATTGGAGCTTATTGCGAAAGTCTAGCTAATCACACGTATCTAAGTTTTATTTCCTTTCTTCATTGTACCTCTCAATTTTATACATCTCACCTTATATTCAACATTTCCGGTTGAGTATTGTTTACTGGTGGAGCCAGAAGTTCAAAATAGGTGTCCTTTTATATGATGTAAGTATATGATAAATATTTTTTTAAAAGTAATACTAAAAAAATCATTCAAAAAAGAAAATGAATCTATTAATACAATTTTTTTTAAATAACCGTGGCGTGTTTTCATATCCGGAAAGTATTGTTAAGAAAATTGATCACCTATATTCTTAAGGAGTGTATCCAACTAAGTTTCTTTTGACGTATATAAAACTTTCCTTATTACATAAAACGGGAAAAGAAAGGAGGGGCCAAATAGAAACATTTCGTTTGGATGACTTTTCCATTTAAATTAGTTAGCCACAATTAATGAAGAGAAAAAGAAAAGAGGGGCACGCTGGGGAAAGGGAGGGACCAACCATCTTTTTTGCATTAAATGTACGGAAGTAATTTGAATACTATATATACATCTATGTAGGAAATTAAAAAACGTGCTAAAATTTAGGTGTGTTCCGTGACAGAGCCCAACAAGCCTGGCTTCGCCAATGGTATTGTTTAAGTTTTTATTTTTTATTTTTTAAAGAGTGGTATTTTTCAATTACTGCAACTAATTAACACCAATTATTATCTGCATGTAGACCATGAGGGACTATAGCTTCTTCTAACATTTATAAGTTTTAAAAATCGACTATTATTATTAGAAACACCAAAGTCATGACTCGAGTGAGCATTTGGTTGATTTGGTTCAAACCGAATCAAAATAATGCAAACCGGATCTCCGAATTCCATCAATCTTTCCCAGAATTCGTCGACGTTAGCCGGGTAGCCACGCACGTATCGTGAGAAGAGGCCAAACTCCAAAGTATTGGATCGCTAATTCCCGATGGTGCAAAACACTTTGGGAGGACAGATTCTTGTTACTGTCCTCAACCCCCATATTTTTGTTTCCCCCAATAGACAAAAAACGGGAAGACGAGTAGAATTTGGAGACTCCAAAAGGCAAAAGCCACCCCCTAAAAAAATATCAGAGCAAACCAACACTGAGAAACACTTACCAGATAGATATTTTGCATCGGCCGTCACTGTGTGGCGTTGGAGATATTTATTATTTCTTGTCGTCGTCCTGTAGAGATAGATTGTGGGAGATTGGAGTCGGTTCCTTGGTCACCATCTCTCTCTCTCTCTGTGTTTGTTTGTTGAAGTGAAGCAAAACGTTGGTGCGAAGTAGTGGGGATTGCGTGTGGAATCTGCTAGGCCACCACTTATATTATTTATTACTGTGCTGCTTAGTGAAGGATCCAATCATTACGTGTCACGAATCAGCAAAGGAAATAGTAGTACTTCTTCTACCACAAAGTTTTTCGACCCTCCATGGGTAAAATAAAAAGACCAGATTCTTTCCCTCGCCTATAACGCGGTTCAAGTCGGTGGTTAGCCTTAACTAGTATGACGAAGGTACTTGCGTTCTACAGCTACGTACAATCTAATCTGTGAAACATAAGTTCAGTGTGTTCTTTTTTAAAATATAAATTAATTTAATATACATCTAATTTCAAGACTAATGGTATTATTATTAGCTCTTTTGGTTAATCAAGTCCGTCAAGGCATCATAGAAGACTCGTTTGGTGGTCCGGTGTTATGAGAGTGTCATCAGATCCTTAGCTCTTTGTCTGTTTGTATAGAGTTTAGGGCAGTACCTAGGTCCGCCAACAATGTTGCCCATTGAGTGGCGCATAAAGCACTGCTTTTGTCTCGTTTAGAGCAAGAATCTTTTGATTTTTTTTGGGGTGGCTTCTTTAGAGTCTTGTAGGGGTCCTGGGTAGAACTGTAAGTTTAACTATTATCCTTCATTGATATCACTCAGAAATAAAAAAAAAATCTTTATTCGCGCAAGAGCAAGCAATAAAACAGATTATCCATCGATTTCTCTCCATCACCACAGAATTCACACTTGGTCACATTAATATTTTTTTCTCAACTCAGCAACTTGTCACAATTCAGAATCTCAGGCCAGGTGAGAAAATGATACCATGAAATTGAGAACTTGGATCACAAAACATTATGCAAAGGAGCTCATTGGTCATGGTGAACACGAATAGAAGCCTAGTTAATAAGGTTTAACAGAAAAATTATGAATCCTTTGAATTTGGTATTTGTCAAACTTGCTATTTGGAACCAATTACTACATAAATACATGTCACCATAGTCCATATATACTAATAGATTGTAATTAAATAAATATATATATGGGTGCATCCTATATTTATAGATTGAATGAATATCTCAATATAGCTCACATAGATTCTTACCAAAGAAATCATCATATAT